ACAACCTTTAACATTTCCAGGTAATTCTAAAAGAATACGCGCTGCTCCTACTACCTCTAGTAATATCCCAGTACATATCATCTAATGGTTGAGACAATAGAGTCATCTGCATATGCCAGATATATCCCTCAACCGGAGACATTCATTTAAGTAATGGTTATGTAATGTCAACACGTATTCAGTGTTAAACCAACAACCGACTTACAGACTTACACCACCATTACTATAACTCAGCTTATTTTATACGACCACAAATTAGAAGGCTTAGCCAGTAGGCAAAGCCTGTAGTTGTGGGAGAAGTTACCTGGCCTATAAATACACAGATAAATCACAAGACAACTTAATAGGTGGACACCAAATCGATGGTGAATAACCTCTAGAGTTGGATGCTGAGACCAAATATCACTACCAAAATCACTGTGCCACTTGCAAAAATAACCACCACCTACGGTTAAGAAATATACAAATACTAAGTGCCAATGAATAAATCAATAGTAGTTCCATTTCCACTGAGCCCTGTAATTACTATTGATTTATTCAATAGGCACTTAGTATTTTTATAAATACACAGACCTCCCCTTTCTCTGGGCTGAGACTGCCTGGTTCAGCCATTAATTTTGGTGGACCCTCTTTTACAGGCCTATCAGAACGTCGGTTCTAGCACACCACAACCGACTTACACCACCATTACTTTTACCCGGCTTATTGTATATGACCCGAAATATATACACATATTTTTTATTTCTTTTTAATATCTTTAATATTATATGAAGCCATGGGAAATGTGGGCATCTCACAAATAAAGGGAACTGCAAATTTTGATATATTTTTTTTTAGGTTACTGCAAACCAACTAAAAATGTCAGTTTATGATAAAGAGTAGACTCACTCAGAGGTGTGTCCAATAAACAACTTGTATACCTTTCAGCAAAACACATTATTTCATTTTTCAATCACTAGCCTGATAACAAGTTCTTGATTCTGTGACTTATGATTAATGGATTAAGGAACAGTGCGCACGCACAAACAAACACAAAAATTTTATACCGTTAGGAAACTTTCTATAATAAAAAACTAATATTTAAACCCTTGTTTGACAAATTTTACAGAATCATATTTACCCCTAATATTTTAGTGTTAGTGCCAGTGTGATAATTCCTTATATTTTCCTGCATTTATTCCCACTTACTATATCTCAATAATTATGGCCATCACGTTATAGTAGCCTTAGCCACTCAAGCACACAAGTACATATATCAGTATATCACAGTAAATAGGAGCATTAAAGGAACACAATAGGTTCAGGAACACAATTGTATTCCTGACCATATAGAGTTAAAAACATCATTTAGCCCCCCCCTTGCCTTTCTTAAATAAGGTAAAAAATCCCCTTATCTCCAGTGCCATGTGATTTACCTCCGTGGTTGACATCATCAGGATTGATGATCTCAGCCAAGCGAATGCTTTCCCAGGAAAGGGAAAACATTTGATTTCCCATAAGAAAACCATTGGATTTGCTGAGATTATCAAGGAAGCTGGGAGTAGGTGGGGTCAAACGCTGGACTGTCCAATCAGCATCTCCTCATAGAGATACATTGAATCAATGCATCTCTATGAGGAAAGTTCAGCATCTCCATGCAGATGATGGAGACACTGAATGCCCCAAGAAGCACCTTTAGCAGCCATCTGATAATTGGTCATTGGAAGTGTCCCTGGGCTGTAATGTAAACACTGCCTTTTCTCTGAAAAACAGTGTTTACTGCAAAAAAGCACTGACCATACTCACCAGAACAAATATAATAAGATGTAGTTGTTCTGGTGACTATAGTGTTTCTTTAATATTTGAAATAAATCATGTTGGTGACATTGATTGAACAATATCCATTCATCTTGTACCAACTTGTTATGCCAAGCCAACCTTAAATCGGGAGTTGTAGTCCACAGTTTATTACCAGATGCTGCCTATTTCTAAAAATTGAATGAACTCTGGTTTTCCTCTACACCTGCCTAATATAAATGGAAGAATATTAATCTAAATGTACACCTGGGACTGAAGTGAAGAAAAATATAAAAGCATGACTTTACTATATAATAAAAACATAATGAAATATACAATCTTACAGGCCTGAGCATGTTAATATACTAAGTGGCATTTCTTTTTCATTAAAGAGTGTGAAAGTATATTCTGTAAAAAAAAAAGGTTGCATTTCATTGCATTATGTATATGGCCATGATGTCTTCATGATGTTGTGCCTGACAATACACTTCTTATAGATTTTTTATTCCATTAGTGTATTCAGAAAGGTAAAGAGTAATGTTAAGTTTGCATTTAAGGCCACTGGTTAGCAATCCTTCCTAATATGTAAAAAAAAAATAGTTCTGATTAACCTCTACTACACCATCAGTGGCCATGGGTTAGTGTATTTCTTTAGGGTCCAAAGTTTAAGGGAAACAAGATACCATTATTAACATTTCTGGATTAAAGGTTAATCCAAGCACCATAACCACCCCAGCCCACTATTCCCCATTAATTTACCTCAATCCTGTCTGGCATTGGGCCTCCCTCCATGATGAACCGCAACCGACTTCTAAAGAGCTGAAGAAGCTGGATAACAATCCTCCCATCCATTCATTGGCTAAGAGTGTCAGTTAAGCACTCTCCCCCAGTGTATGAAAGTTTGGGCTCTTGTTCTGGGGCTGGCTGAAGACACTGTTGGAGGTGGAATTACACCTCCAGCAGGTAGCCTAAATATCCTATATGTGCATAGTTTTGTACTGAAGTGCTGCGCATACAGCCTCCTGTTACCATAACTACTTCAAATCACTGCAGTGTACATGGTGCTTGGAGTAACTCTTTAAAGATAGAGATGGAAGTGATTTACACACAATGATTTGAGTATATTGAGTGCTGATAAGCTGCTTTACACAAGAGGGAGCTGTGAAGATTAACCAGATCTGATTTTCTTATATAGTCTTTCAAGAAGATAAATAAAGTAAATTGTAAGAGAAAGATACAGGGGAACCCGCTATTAAACGGACAGACAACTTTCAAGAGTGTAATTTTTAAGTAATGCCATTTAAAATAAAAAAAGTTACTTGAAAAATATTAAATATATGACTTTTGGTTCCTTTGTGCCATATTGTAATTTATGCAAAACAATGCATTGAAATAAAATAACCATACATCTATTACATATTAATCTACACAAAATTCTGATTTCATAGGAAATAGTATCTCTTAGCACATTGTGCAATATATAGGGATTATTCTATAGGCAGCGAGGCTCTGTATTGTATAGATATTTGTTATATCTGGAATAACGCTATGTCGGCCCACATACAGATATTATTTCTACCCTCTTGTGGCATTATTAGAAAACTGCATTCACAGAAATCAGGTGCTTTATTAAAATCTACGAGGAGAGTATTTTATTTGACTATTTTTGTACGCACAGGGAAAATGTTTTATTTCTATGCGTCTATGTAGCTATTTCAGACTCTACTTCTTTTAGTCCTCCCTCTTATAATAAATAAATAAATGTGTGTAAATGTGCAGAATTAATTTAGATATATCCAGACAACAATCTATATACTAAACTGCTGTTTTATCCAAGGTGTATTTGCTATCTTTGAAAAGGGCTTGGGAAAGACCCCAATGTGGAAACATTGCCCTTTACAACGTGTCAACCAAAAACTTTGGAGGACTCTGCACTATTTTTTTGCTAGCTCTAACTCTTATATATATCATACATGCTAACATTCTGTGATTTTTAAAAACAAATCATTAGTATCTGTGGCTTTTCTGAAATTCTGAGCATTTGTGACCAAGGGCTTGCATTTTTGTTAATTTCACCATAATTTTGAACTTTCTGTTTACATGCTCCCATACATGGTACACGTTTATAAATAAGCTGGCGCAGAGATATAATGCGTAAACAATATGCTAGACATGTGCAATTCGTTTTGGTACGAATTTAAATCGGGATGAATTTCGGCAAATCGGACATTCGGATGCATCCAAATGTCTGAATTTCGGAAGTGCCAAATAGCCGAATTGCCGAAGTGCCAAATTGAACAGAATTGCCGAAGTGCCAAACTTCGGAAGTGCCGAAGTGCTTCGGATTTTTGAAAAGTGGCAAAACAGGAGAGGGAGGGAAAATTAAGGAAATTATGACAGTAATCTAACCCTAACCCTACCCATAACCCTTACCCCAACCTTCCTCTAACCCTAACTTTACCCCTAATCCTACCCCTAACCCTACCCCTAACCTTTACCCCAACCTTTCTCTAACCCTACCTCCTCCCCTACCCCTAACCCTTTCCCTAACCCTAATAGGGGTAGGGGTAGGGCTAGGGGTAGGATTAGGGTTAGGGAATTGCTAAAGTACTGAATTCCCGAAGTGCCGAAGTACCGAAGTTCTGAAGTACTGAATTTCGGAAGTGCCAAACCGAACCGAGGTCCCTAAGTGCCGAATTCCCGAATTTTGGAAGTGCCGAACCGAAGTGCCAAAGTCCTGAATTTCAGAAGTGCCAAACCAAATTTTTGGTCCATGCACATCCCTACAATATTCAATATAAATTGCAGCAACCAACATAAAATCTTGGTAATGAGATTGAAAACAGTAAGAAAAAAAAGTGCTGGTGCACAGAATTTTCAAAGACAACCTTAATTAGAGTATAAAGTGCTTTCTGGGTGCATATAAAACCATTGTTTAGGTGATATCAACCCACAGTGTGATAAGAACATATTTACTTAAAACTCAAGAAAGTATACACTTGCAGTATCTAAATTAGGAGACAAACAGAAGGCACTCCTAGTGCAATAAAGTTACAAAGATACAAACATATGTAGAAATCCTAGAGGTGTTACACTCACAAGTAGAGAGTGGTAATAGTCCCACTCAAAACTATAGAGCCCAGGGAGGATCAGTCCCTAGAGTGCGTGGGATCCAATAGATGCTTTGGGGACCAAGGAAATAGTTAAAAACTATTTCTTTACAGGACCAGGAACACGGAAGTGTTTGAAGAGTGTACACTGGCGAGACCAGCCACAATCTGAAGGAGAAAGACAGTGGCTACATCCGAACTGTCTCTTCATCCCCAGAAGGATGGTGAGCAGACGGTGGACTTTTAACAGTGTCTAATTGTTATTTAATACCTGGAATAAAGACATTGGTTTTACTGTATGGAGGGATGTTATACACCAAAACTGCTTCATAAAGCTAGACTTGTTTTTGTAACTATAGTGTCCCTTAAAATATGAATGTAAAACTAAGGTAAAAATAGCTTGCAACCATAGCTGAGTTTGAGAATTCTTTAATGTCAGCCTTATCAGATTAAGGTAAACTTTGATCTTGGATTAGATACTAGATTAAATTGATGTTAGATTTAATGTAATCTCACACAATTAAAGTTAGTAGCCAAGTTTGGGTTACATAATTACAATATGCAGACACTATGCAGAAATGTATTTGAAGTTACTTAGAGAAACTTTCCATTTAAAAAAAATTACTTTGACAAAAACAGGTCTCAATTTAAATGTTTAATGCTCTTAAGCTGAATGTCATGCTTCAATGATATTTTTTCTCCTTACATTTCTGCTTTGTTCACACCTTTGTTAGCAGCTTGTAAAAGTTAACTAAGCGTCACTATCATGTTTTGTCTTGTTTCAGATTATGCATGAGAATCATAGCATCACTTACAAGATACACGTGAATCCTTTTTCATCTATCAGGTATGTCTGTAGAGCAACGCGTACAGGCTCTCACAATTAAAGGAAAACTATAATGTTAGAAAAACACCTACAATGCACCATCCCTTGTGCCCTCTCCCCTTGCACTGGAGGTCCCTCGGCACTGAGTCAGACTCCGCCTCCGCTCCTCTCTCCTCCGGGGAGTGCTGTGCACATATTAGGACATCCCCAAAGGAAAGCATTGCTCAATGCTTTCCTATGGGGTTTTAGATGATGCTGGATGTCCTCATGCCCCTGTGCAGTTGCACCGAATGTAGTTCCGCCACTGATTGCTCTGTTTGTCAGCAGCAGAACTACCGCCGGTGCAGCTGGTGTGGCTGCACCAGAGCATGCATGCTTGGGCGGGGGGCATTAATGGGCCTATCCACTCAGGGCCATCCAATATGGGTATTGCTAAACAGGGCCCCAGTTGGGCGTTGCGGCCCTTTACCAGGTGTAACCGGGCCCTTGTAGTATCAGTAGCCTGGGAGGAAGTGAGTGCAAGAATGTTTACAGGAGGGTGGCTAAAAACAGAAAAATGTATGACATATATGTGTGTTTGTATGTGCCTGTGTGTTAGTGTGTATCTGTGTAAGTGTGTATCTTTGTGTCAGTTTGTGTGTGTCTGTATATATGTAAGTGTGTGCACCTGTCTGTATCTGTTTATGTGTATCTGTGTGTGTGTCAGCATCTGCATCTTCTGTATGTGCCAGTGTGTGTATCTGAATGTCAGTGTGTGTGTGTATGTGTCAATGTGTATGTGTATATGTGTGTATCGGAGTGTGTGTATGTGTCAATGTGTATGTGTATATGTGTAAGTATGTATGTATGTGGTAGTGAATATGTATATGTGCATATTCCAGCAATCAAATGCCAACACTACTTGCAAATACAACCTCGCATTAATACGCAACCATTACATAAAAACACAACCATGCAGTCAAATGCCAAAATTATATATAAATAAATCCCTTCACTAAAACACCAATACAATACACAAATCTAAACAGCATTTCAAAAGCCAACACTATATACAAACATACCCCTGCAAACAAACGCAAACATTACATACGAACACACTCCTGTATTAAAATACCAACGTTATATACAAACAACATTTCATTCAAACACCAACACTACACACAAAAGCGCATCTGCATTTAAAAACCATCACTACATACAAACACTGCATTCTAACACAAACACTAGTGTCATCAATACAAATATGTATATTCCTGACACTAGAGTGTTTAAACTAATTATTTAGGTATACTTAGATCACACTTCGCAAGTCTCGCCACAGCTGGCCCAGCCTCAGTGGCTGAGATCATCATTCTTGATGATGTCAAACAATCCAATACTTTCTCATAGAAAAGCATTTTGAGGCTATTGTGCATGTGCTGCATAACTTTACTCTGCACCAATCAGCATCTCCTCATAGAAATGCATTAAATCACTGCATCTTTTTGGGGTGTGTCAAGCAGAGAAACTGGATGCCACTGCTGGACTAGGAAACACATATAGTGGCAATACGGTGTTACTAGGTTACCAGGCAGCAATGTAAACACTGCCTTTCTCTGAAAAGGCAGCGTTTATATTGAAAAGCCTGCAGGGAAAGGCTTTAGATACCAGAACAACTAAATTAAACTCTAGTGGTTCTAGAGACTATAGTGTCTCTTTAAGCTTTGTTCACTCTTCTCTCCTCTGGAATAAGATAATACGGATATCATGAGATTCACTTTATTGAGATACTACAAAGCTGAAATGTAAGTTTTACAAAAGTTGCTTGTTTGCTGCAGCCTACTCAAGAGTTAGCACATTGTTAAATTATATATTTACACATATTTTTTTTCCCTAATGCAATCTCTTGTATTACCCAATGTATATATCATTTACATTTGGTTATTGCTTTTGTGTGTATATGTAACAGAGATGGATGAATATCAAGTGGCTTACAATGATGGTCCATATGAAATTCAATAAAAAGATAAACAAAAAATATAAATTATGACAAAAACATTAACAGACAGAAACAACTATTTTAAAACAAAATACTTAAAGGATCGCTATAGTATCAGAAAAACAAACTTGTTTTCCTAACACTATAGCATCCTTAGGACCCCCCCCACTCTCAGGGACCACCTCCCGTGGCACTGAAGGGGTTAAGGTTAAAACCCCTTCAGTTACTTACATTAATCCAGCGCCAGGCTTTTCTCAATGCTTTCCTATGGACGTTCTGCACCCTGGATGCGATTTTCGCATTCAGCGTCGCAGATGCGCCTCTAGCGGCTGTCAGGAAGACATTGAGCTGAAGTGGTCTGGGTCACTATAGTGTCCCTTTAATATAAACAAAAATGCAACCAGACAAGTTCCACAGGCCACTATATAAGTGGTTTCCAACCCAGTCATCAAGGCACACCAAAGGTCCAAGAATTGTCTGTATTCTCAGGGGAAGGCAACCTTAAGCACTCCAGATGTTGCGAACTACATTCCCTATAATGGTCTAAAGGCCATAATACTGGCAGAGAAACATGTGGAATGTAGTCCACAACATCTGGAGTGCCAAAAGTTGCCTACTCTGGTCTAAATCCTTGCCTGTTTGTATGCCTTAGGACTGAGTTGGGAACCACTACTCTAAATTACTGGGCTCTTCCTAGCAATTACAACTGTTTAGATTCAGACCCAACACAGCTACTAGGAAACCTCAATATTTGTTTTGTTTGTAATAATAGCTTTTTTCCTGGTTTCCTCTACTCCCATGCAGAATTAAGATTGTGGGATAAGGGATATGAATACCACAACACATTATACAACATTGTGCAATTTGTCTGTGCTATGTAATAATAATTCAAACATTTAATAAATAATAGGTAGCTGGTAGGATTCTAGCCCTCACTCACTAGTTTGAAAAGCTATTGTGTATATATAATAAATTGTTCTAGCTTCTTTCCTCTTCACCGCTATTGATATTTGTATATTCATGGCCCCATATGCTCCTTATATATTTTACAGCCCTTAAATGACTGCGACCTGTCAGTCAGATCTTCTTCCATCTGCAAGTCATGCTTCTCACCTGATTGCATTTCATGAGCATAACAAAATGACATAATCTATAGCAAGGCACGAAACAGGCGACTGACAGTAAACCACAGCACACTCGTAAATTTAAGACGTACACTGAATGTTAAAGGAATGAGTAACACATTGTGTTCTTATGTGTTGTGTAGTTAACCTGTGCTAAGAGGGTTAATTTGTACAAAGCGCCAACAGCACATGCAAGCAGGATGTTAAGTATACAACATGCTTAAACAAGTTTAAAAGGACAAACAACACTGACGTTTGAATTGAGTTTGTATAACTGGTGACCTATTATTATCATAAAAGCCACTTTTTATTTCTATGATTTTACAATAGAAACAGGGGGACGGTAAGTGGGAAAAAGTGCAGTTAAACAGTGCAGGCTAGTCACTCAAAATAGGGGATCACTCCCAAATCCCCAAATCCCATGATCCAAAAATAGTATAGTTAAAAACATATACCAGTGAGGGCGCCACTATCACAAATGTGCAAATATAATTACCATTCAGATTGTTGAATATGGCATGTAATAGAAACATAAGAGAAAAAATACATAGTGAAGTATTTAATGACCCAAGGAAAAAATAAATAAAAACAATGGATACACTCACAAAATAAGTGGCACAAAGAGAAATATATCTGTTTGTGCTAAAGAGCTTGTCAGCCACCAAAGGGCTAAGTCCCCATAAAGTTGATATCAGCCATTGGTACCTCAGGATGTCAGCCACTCACTTTATTCACCAGTCTTCAAATGAATGTGAAAGAAGCTGAATGTTGTCCTGTAGGTCTGACAGGTATTGGCTTTTAGGCTTTAGTCCTTGAGGACACTCCAAACTGCTCACTGCTCGACGCGTTTCGTCTGGCGACTTTATCAAGAGCTGTGTATACTCCTCCGTCCCAGCAGTTTAAATACAATATAACAGTTCCCCTTCGAGGATGGTAATTTGTTAAATAGTGAGATGTGTTGAGCTGATATTTAATTTGCTAAATTTAGGCTAAATACAAAATCTCCAGACTTGTTTAGAGCTTCATAGCTGCAAAAAGGCCTGTTTTTACCAGGACAACTTCACATATGCGCTCCTGACCCAGTAAAAACATGTTCAGACTTCTAAGGAATATGGTTAACCGAAACTCGAGGAGACAGCATATTTCTCATACTAAAACATGTGACAACTGACCCTCAGGAAATTAAGGGTTCCAAAAAAAACTTTTAGACCTCTAGCCCTTCCCCAGATATCGAGGATTATAGGTATGAACCTTACAAGAGGGTGGAACTTGAGTGGCTCACTAATGAGCATAAGGAAATTCTTAACAAGCAATATTTGAAGAAAGAGGTTCAACAGGACGATAGAGCCTGCAAATCATGCAAAGTCCAGGGTTCAGATTGCAGACTATTAGAAATTGTTCTTGGGCCAGGTGGTAGACCCATTAACTACACTATTCAATTCTATGTATATTAATGTATTACCACTCTAAATTATGTGTAATTGTTAGCGTCTTTTTTCAATTAACAAATGTTTCAAATTAATTGTAATAATATTGTTATTGTAATCTCAAATGAATGACTAACTCTAATGCTTCAAACTTTTTTCTTTTTTTTTGCCTTCTTTTGGTCGCACACTAAATCTGTGAACTCTATGGCACCTATACAGCTGTCTTGATCTTTGTGGCTCACATCACTCAGCGAATGGAACGCGGACATGTTCAATGGAACGCACTTCCGGTTCTGGTTTTTGGCAGATGTCTAATCACCAGCTGAGACATGGGAGATAATTCTTTGAAGATCTATAGGTGATCCAGTGCAAGAAGGGAACCAGTAAGATCACGGAGGAGAAACAACGCCCTCTGAACCACCAATGAACTCAGGGATTAGCCCTATTTAAAAGGACTCTGCGGTGGAAATTGTTAGGCTGTTATCTTTCTAT